GGTTTGGGGGTTTAAGGTTTAGGGTGGTTTAGGTTTTAGGGTTTAGGGGCTTAGGGTTTAGGGTTTAGTTAGGGGCTCCGTCAAGGCTTCCTTACAGGGTTACTGTGAAGCTATCAGGGTTCCGTTATTGGGATCCTACAAATGCTCCTGTAGGGTTAGTCTTGGGGGGTCCTTTCAGGGCTCCTTCATGGGGCTGCCTTTCAGGGTTGCTATAAGGGCTCCTCTAAGGCCGAAGGGATGCTATAAGGGGCTCCTTTAAGAGACTGCGGGCATCCCTTATCGGAACCCTTAAAGGAACCCTTAGAGGAACCCTAAAAAAGGAGCCCTAACAACGGAACCCTCAAAGACCCTAAACCCTAAACCCTAAACCCTGAATCCTAAACCCTGAACCCTAAACCCTAAACCCTTAACCCTAAACCCTAAACCCTAAAGGTAACTGAAGGTAGGAGACCACGCGACTCCGCCTGCCACGCGCCAGAATCAGCTCGAGAGCAGGAGCATGACGGCCCTGAGTGAAGGTGCGTAGTTAGGGCTTCGGGTTCGGGGTTTTAGGGTTTAGGGCTTCGGGTTCGAGGTTTAGGGTTGAGGGGTTTAGAGGGTTTAGGGGTTTAGGGTTTAGGGTTTAGGGGTTTGGGGTTCGGAGTTTAGGGTTGAGGGGCTTAGAGGGTTTAGGGGCTTAGAGGGTTTAGAGGGTTTAGGGGTCTAGGGTTCGGGGTTTAGGGATGAGGGGCTTAGAGGGTTTAGGGGTTTAGGGGTTTGGGGTTTAGGGTTGAGGGGCTTAGAAGGTTTAGGGTTTAGGGGTTTAGGGGTTTGGGGTTCGGGGTTGAGGGGCTTAGAAGGTTTAGGGTTTAGGGGTTTAGGGGTTTGGGGTTCGGGGTTTAGGGTTTATAAGGATTTATAGGGGCTAGGGCTTATAGGGTTTAGGGCTAACCCCCGTTCCCGAAATAGATATCATCCTTCAATTAACTGAGACAAGAAGCTGCGGTCCCAGTGTTAGGTCCCTGAAAGACAGGCCGTTTATCAATCAGCGGTCTACAGTCTTAAAAGCACGGGGAGCTGGCACTTGCGTCCGCTTGTGCCGACACCTCAAACCCTGAACCCCTGAACCCCTGA